TCGAACTCTCTGGAAGTTTTCTCTGCTTTGATGACCTTCGCGGTCGACCGCCGCACTGTCAAATCTGCTCCAACGGCTAGTTTCCAGAGTCGTTGTTGAGCTGGTTTTTTGGTCTTTTCTTGGCTTTGGGGTTTCAGATAAATACCCCCTTATACCACAGTTTTCAAAAGAATCCAAGAGGTTTAACAAAGTTTTAATCAAGGGTTTAAGTTTGTTTAAAGTGTGTTTATAAGCTTTTAAGCATTTGAGTGTTTCGGTTTTGTGAATCAATTCCACAAGAGCTTGAGGAGATCATCTATTGAAGTTTGAGCTTCCAACTATTCTCCCTCCACCTCTTGATCTATTGAGAAGTTTTCTAAACTCTTATCTAGCTTTACATTTGCTTAGTTATTTGATTATCATTCTTTAAAGCTAGTTTTCATATTGAGTTTAGTTGATTTTATTTTCTCTTTGTTTACACGTACACAACCATTAAGCTTATTGTATTTACATTCATAGTATAATTGGGTTGTGGGATTGTGTAACTTGGAGAGTGAGCTTATAATTCGTTCTCATCCATTGTAGAGAACAAACACTTTGTATTGTGCTTAATTGTGAGATCACTTTGTAATACACTTGTACACCGAGAGAAGTGTGTGGTGAGAGTCGGGCATCGTCTCAAGAGGAGTGGCATCGGTTCACGAACCTAGGGAGAGGTTGTATCCGAGCACTTGAGGGAGACACGTCTAGTTCAACACTTGAGAGGGTGTAGAGTGGGATTGCAAGAGTGTGTGAGTTATAGAGTTTTCGATAAACTAGAAAACCGTATTATGTGGTGTAAACGTTGTTCGGGTAAATGTAGAAAACCCGGTTGTGATAGTGGAGATCTCCTCGAGGTGAGGAGCAGAGACGTAGGTCATGGGGACCAAACTCTGTAATCATATTGTTTGTTTGTGATTGCATTAGCGCACTTATTTTTATGTTCATATCTTATATCGTCTTTGTATATTGCTTATTGATTATATTGCCCACTATCTAGTTTAGATTATTTACCCTTGTGTTAATTATATATCCTTGTAGGGTGAATATTTGATTTCCCGAAAAAAGGGAGTTTCGTTTGTATTTATAAGAAAGCTTATTACAAACTAATAATCAAATGATTACAACAGAAGCAGAGGGAATGCCCTCTTTGTTTTTGTGTGGGGACTTTAGGTGGCTATAGGATGCTTCGCTCGATGCTCGTGTCGAGTCTGCTTCCCTTGGACCGTTCGATCGAGGTTGCTGGAGAGCTTCAGTTCGCAGTAGAAGCTCAACTCGAGGGAGTTCGGGTTTGCTTAGTTCGCCGGCGATCGGAGCTCGGAGCTAAACAGTGACGCTGCAATGCAAAGATTATGCAGAGAGCTTGGTCTCAACTATTTTCTCTAAGTTTTTTTTTGCGACCTCCCCTCCAGTGTGCTGGAAGGGCCTTTTTAAACGAAAGAAGGACAGCTTGACTCCTCCTTGAATTGTGGGATGTGACCACATCTTCTTCAGAGACGTCTGGTTGCTCCTCGATACCATGAATGGTCATTCCAGGGATTGTGCTTTATGTCCTATCACCTACGACGGGAAGGCCCCCTTCTTGTATATGAGGCAACGGCCGTCTGTTGTCCGAGTGGACCTGACCGTCATTAATGAACCGCATTTATGAATCCGCAGATCGATGAAGTGTCTGTCCGATCACTCGTACTGTGCGTGACCGCCCGGCGTGCTTCGAGCACGGTGCTTTCTCCTTTCCGGTCAGGAGAGGCGGCGAAGTAGGTGCACAGTACTCGAGTGGGTCTAGCCAACTTGCTGAGTGCCGGCGGATCTAGCTCTTGACTCAGACAGCCAAGGAGAGCCGCATTTATGAATGCTCAGGTTGACTCGACACCTGTTCAGTCCTTCGCGCTGTGCGTACTGCGAGGCGGCCGTTTGACGGTCCTGGGGTACTGTGCTCTCTCCCTTCGGGTCGAGAGCCCGTGCCAGAGAACCGGGCGTGCGAGCTTTTTTCACATGCGAATTTCCTGTGAGCCTATAGAGGTATTTTTTTTTACCGTCTACAAGACCCCCTTCAAAGTTTTCAGACCTAAACCGGCTCGCGTGTGGTCTGGAATACTTTGAATGAAGAAATTTTCGACGAAGTAAGCGCACTTAATTTCTTTTGGGATTTTTAGCAAATCCTCAGCTATCAACGGGTTTGATGTGCCTTTACCGATCACCGTTTGAATCGGGCTAGCCATACTATTCCCCTCAGTATGATGAGTTGTCGAACAGTTTCTCTTAGGCTTAATGCTAAGATTTCTGCTCTAACCCTTAGCCGTCTGAGGCGTGGGTTTTAACCGTTTAAGCGAGGTCATTCTATTGGCTTCGTTTATAATTTTACCTTTAGTGGCGAGCGAGTTGCCCAGGCAAAATTAATCTTTGGGAGCCAAATTTAGGCGAAATTAGTCTTTGGGAGCCAAGTTTCGCGCGACTCGTGGGGTCGGGTTAAGTACTCGTAGGTGAGATCTCTTCCTTTTTTGAGGCAGGCCCAGATCTGACGGGAGATGAGCCACGTGTCTGCTGATAGGGCTTTATGCTTCCCAGCTAAGGCGGCGCGGTCTCATCGGGTCGTGGCGATCGTGGTTTGACAACACGATTTTCGTGCGTTTCGCCCCGCGACGCATCGTGGTCGCGGTTTTCGGGCTCAACCGTCGGATGCAGCCGTCAACCTCGGTTCTTTCGTTACACCGAGGGTGATCTGGGCTGTCGAATTTGATCGTGGCCACGTCTTCTGTCCGTTAGGGTTTTCGCTTTTCGAGGGCAGTCGTGGCCACGTGGACAACTCCGCCCTTCTAAATCAGCCATTTTCCTCCATTGGGAGTTACCGTGCTCTCAAATCAAAGGAACCTCCCAGGAAAGAGTTCCCGCTTCATCCTACAATGGCTCCGAAATCTAAGAGGTGCAAAGTTAGGGGTGCGGGCCCCGGACGTTACTCCGACCGTCTCTCCGCCGGCATGCCTGCCGGTGCTCTGGAGTCGCGCCCAGGTATGTTGATGGGTTCGTTTGGACGATCTTTTGTAAGTCTTAGGCGTCGGATTTTAGGGAGATGAGTGTTACTCATTTCCCCGATTTGGGGCAAAGTTTGCCCTATTTGCCCTTAGAGGATGATTACTGTCCCTGCAGGCGAATCCTTCAGTGGGAAGGAGGCGAACTTCCCTTTTCGCAAGGCGAGTTCGGCCCTTTCTCATTAGAGGGGAGTATAGTCTGTATGGATAGATCTTGTTCGAAATGGGTTCCCCCTTTCGATAGGCGATTTCGCCCTCCTCTGTTCGATGGGCGATTTCGCCCCTACAGCGGATTTTGTCTCAATTGACTTTTTATTTCTTGTTGCAGCGACCTTTTCTGATGAGGCTTTCCCGGAGGGTGTGGCCGTTGGCCACGCCGGGGCTACGAGTTACACGGCGCCTTCTCGATTTCCTTCTCTGGCTCCAATGCCCGTATTCACCGCTGATAAGCCGCATGGTCTGGTACAGAGAGTCACGGATGGTCATCACTTGACATTACGCGAGTTGACGACCAACGCGGCGCTGACAGATGAGGACAGGGCAGAGCTGCCGAAGCCTCAATTTTTGTTCGGCGACGCTATGGCCGACCCCTCCGCCCTGTTGCTCAAAGAGAGCCGGTGGTTCCGCACGGTAGAGGGGGTTCATTATTACCTCCCAGCATGTCGAGAGGGTTTTCGACCCGTGGGG